AATTCTATAACTCTCATCCACACGTGTACCAAGTAATTTATGTTGTTATATATATTCAATCAGAAACTGAACTTAAACTGAATTCAACAAAAATGAATGTTAATTATTATCGTCGGAAAGAAATGACACAAACAATTGAGCACACCTAAAATGTGTGGACAAAGTATTCAAATAACGAAATTGATCAATTGAATTATTTGGAAAAAATGGACACAACCGCTTCAAAGGTAAACCTATGAAATAAGTACCTAATTAAAATAAACATTAACAAATGACTGCTACAATTAAAATTAATTGTGAATATTTTTTAACGCATAGCATACCAAAAACACATTTTTAACCACACCAGTGAAGTTAAAATATTCACTGACAGTCCTAAGTTTATACAAGTGGGAAGAAAAGTGTGAGCGCGAACGAGTTGTAAAAATGTGCGCAAACCATGTGCACCCGCTTCTGACTTAACCAATTCAATAGTTTTATTTTAACATTTTTTATATAAAGTTGACATGTGAACTTTAGATAATTTATGATGGTTTGGAATTATATAAAATATTTAACTGTTGAACAACATTTTTGAATCCTTCGTTTTTGACTATTTTAAAAGGTTAAAAATCTTTTATTATTATTTTTAAAAGTGCTCGGTAAATCTTTTTTTTTTTTTTATATTGTTTGTAAATTTTCTTTAAATGTATTCTAAAATTTTGTTTTTTGTTTTCATAAGAATATTTACTATTAGATTTCGAATTATATATGTGTTTTTAATATGAGAAGAATATTGATCGATTTAAGTTGAGGAGGGTAAATCATGAAAAAAAATTTGGTCATAATCGTCAACTATTTCTTCATTAATATCATTGATCTACAGAAAAATATTTTTTTATTTAAGAACTATTTATCGAGTATTCTTTATTTAGTCTAAAATTTTAACAAAAACATACCCGTCTTACTGTTTTTTATTTGTACCCAATGACTTGTAAAATAGGTAATGAAATTTTAAATATGTGATAATTGTTTTAAATTAATACTTTTTTTTTTTACAAATATTAAGTTTTGTCAATGTAATATTCCGTCCCGAGGAGAAGGGGGAGGGCAACTGGAACCGTAGTCCAGAGGCCAGAGACCTGATCAAGTTTACTACGTCTAAATAATTCTAGCGTATGCTGTATAGTTATAATGAGTCTACATTAAATTGAACAGAACAATATTGATCTAAAACTTAGACAAATAACATTTTTAAGAAAATCCCATAGGCTATAAATAATTATTTTCGTTTAGTCTGTGAAATAACCATGACTGCGATTACATTATAAGAAAACACTGGATGTCATTGGCAAGTTTAAAACCTCATGTGAGAAAGGGTTAGATTAATTTTTCCCTATGGCCCTTGATTTCTCTCTCCACGGCCTTAGTAGTATTATCAATAAGAATAACAAAAATAAGACCATAATAATAATAAAATATGGGTTACCGAAATTTAACAATACACTGTGTGAAATAGAGTTATGTTCGTGAACAAATACGAGTAGTTCATTTGAACTATTCACTTTGATGAACAATCAGAAACTGAACTTAAACTGAATTTAATAAAAATGAATGTTAATAACTATCGTCGGAAAGAAATGACACAAACAATTGAGTACATGAAAAATGTGTGACTAAAGTATTCAAATAATGAAATTGATCAATTAAATTATTTGGAAAAAATGGGCAACCGCTTCAAAGGTAAACCTTTGAAATAAGTACCTAATTAAAATAAACATAAACAAATGACCGCTACAATTAAAATTAATTGTGAATATTTTTTAATATAAAAAAAAATATGGTTTTGTTTAGTTTCCATATTTCAGAATATTAATATAATTACAATAAATACCGAGAAATCAAATTAATTTTTAATAATACTTGAGTTGGAAAATTTTATTTAGTTTTGTTTTCGTAATTGCATAGTTGTCTTAAAATTGATCGGCTAAAAAAAAACAAAAGTATTCTATTAACATAAGGATATTATTTGTAGGTGTATTCATAGCAGTTCTAAACCGATCGTGAGCCGCAATGGCATTGCTCATACCTCGAACACAAAAACATCTGTGTCTGTTAAACGTGTACCAATGCAATCCAAAACATTAGATTTTTTACAACTTTTTTTTAAAATTTTAAATTTTTAAATAGTTTTTTAATATAACTTCTTCATTCTTTTGAGATAATGGGCTTAGCTGAATATCAATTAAATATTTGGAATTCACTTTTTTTCCACCTAAGATGTTATACGATTTTTATCAAAAGTTCACACAATGATAGAAAAACTTCGATATCAGAGGAAGACTAATCAGTCTAGATAAGTGTTTTTATTTTCGAGATAAATAAAGTGTTTTAAAGTTTTTTTTTTTTAATTAACTATTCGACAAAAATCATATGCACCATGTAAATATGAAATCAAAGTATAATTTAAAATACTTATAAAATGGTAATAGTCGCTAGAGCACATTTATAAGAAAAATAATTTCACGTTATATTTCAAAGTCAATACTTGCTTACCATATATAAGCAAATGACAAACAAGCGAACTGAATAATAATTATTCACAATTCAGTTCAGCGTTGTACATCTGCACGCCTGTCGTTATACACGTTCCGTTATTTCGATTCCACTATGTCGTAGACCTACTTGTAATCGTTATTCTATTAATGTGTGCTCCACGGTTTTAACGAGCGTGTGGCTATGTCGAACCCTGTCAATGATAAGAGTCGTAATGCATCTCATTTCAGTTTCCTTTCACCGTCTAAATAAAAATCCACCAAACGTTTATTGTCGTCTTCTTTAAACTCACCAATAACTCCATCTCATTTGGAAAAAAAACTAAAAGTTTCTGCTCAACAAATTGCCATGCTATTTTAGCGACCGAAGACGACAACATTGAACCAACTGTAATTTCAACCATTACGGTTATTGACAGTGAACAACTCATTCCACTTGAGGGAAAAATAAATTCTAACACTCGGGCACCACCAATCTACATTAAAAAACACTTCTATAGTTAATTTTTCAGCTCTCAAAAATACGCTTATACGACTCACTAGTGTAAACCGTTTCTCTTGTAAGCCAATCTTTTCTTTTTTTTCATTATTCATCCAAATGGAAATTAGAACTTCAATGCTATCATCGAACATCTGGCAAACTCGGATGCTTGCTATCACACATTTACCCCTCTTTCACTTTGGCTTGATAGAGTCATTATCAGAAATCTTTACCATACTATTGTCATCACGGATATCTCAGAAGTTCTGGATGACCTGGGCTTCTGTGATAGACGAGTTAAAAATAAATCTTTTTCAAAATTGAGGACAAATCCCAAATCCTATGCCGAAGCAGTTAATTCTAATATTTCTCCGGCTGAAACCATCTCGTCCATTTTATCTAATTTCATAAATAATTTAAATTCAATAATTAGCCCGTTAATCACCCACCTTACAGAGGTCGTACTAAAATGGTTCTCCTTTTAATTGTATTTTAATATATCATTACTACTTAATCTCACCTATTATTGGACTTAATTATCATAAATCATTTATTTATGTTGTTATCTAAACGCTATCCATTGTTTTGTGCAAACTAACACTCCAATTATTATTTTATTTATATTGTATTCATAATTATTTTTTTTCTGCTATATATTATGTGACTACTATTTTATTAATATATAATCGTTGAACTATAATAGTTTATGCTGAAAGTTCTAGAATTAAAAAAAAAAATTCACAATTCTTGTGATCAAAAAAACAGTATTTTGATAAATGTATGAGATTCAGAATCAAATCCAATATAATAGATGTCTGGCATATAGTCTAATCTACTATCAAATTTTTATAATTAAGGTGTATAAATATACTTTATTTCAATTTAAAAAACTAAGGAACAAATAAGTACTTAAATGAATGTTCTTTATCGCGTTTGTTATACTAATAATACGAAAAATTCAAAGAAAAAATAGTACACACATTACACATACTATTTCATAATTATACTTCTTTAATATTTTAGAAACGATGTTGACACATATGAAAAATGAACCATACAAATGGTATTTGTAAATAACATTTTTATAATATCTGATTTTATTTAATTAAAAATTATAAAACATATATATATATATTATAAATTTAATTATTAATAAACTACTGGAACACCTCCTGTTGTTGAATTATCGATTTCACATTCATTTGTGCCTCGACGAATTTTAAAAAGCCCGTTGTCGCCCCAGTCTTCGTTCCATGAGTTGACCAATAACCAATATGGGACTCCGTATTCCTCTCCCCAGCCAATCAATTTCACAGCATGACCTCCTAGGTATGATGCATTTTCCGATTTGATGTATACACCTAAGAATTCACAAAAAACATTATGTTAAACAATATTGCTTGGTTAGATCAGTAATTACTCTTGGTTAATAACTACAAACACAAAATCACATAATTTACTCCTCGGTTTACGTTACCTGATTTATAGCTAGGAAAATCGTCGTATACTTCAAATGACGCTTCAATGGGACCGTAGGCCAAAACATCCTTTTGTATGGTTCCATAAGTTAGATAATAAGCATCTCTAGCTATAATTATTATAATTCATTAGAGATAATTAAATGTGAAAATATTAAATCGTATGATGTAATCATGTCGTTAGTTCAGAACCCGAAAATTCATACACAAAGTATACAATTTTTTCCTCTAAACCTTAATATTTAAACATTAAATATTTATATATTTTCATATACTTATAGATCACTTTTATTTTCTTTGATTGTTAAATTCTGCGAAAATTACAATGCTGTTTTTTACAAATATATATTCAAATGCCCATTATATTTATATGAAATGAAATTCATGAAAAATATTGACTTTATTGTATGAGAAAAATATGAGCTTTGTGCAGTTTTATACTTTTTGTTTTTTTATTAGTATAGGTATGTATTAATGCAAAAAAAAATTTCTAATATAACGATAGACATAAAAAAAGATTAAATGTTTGTAAAAAAAAAAAAAATATTTTCATAAATAAAATATTGACATATTTTCATTATAATCCGCACAATATATTATTATTATGTATATAATCCCTTACTGAATCTGTGATCTTCTTTGAAGTCAAGATCTTGATTTCCATAACACATTCTTGTACATCTATGATTTTTTTCCATTGGTTTACCACTGCATGTACTGTTACCATACTCATCTTTAAGGCAAGGTTCAACTCTGTATGGTTGGCATCCCTGAAAATACATTAAAGTATTTACAATATGTTTTTTATTAAAATAATTTGCATTTCACTACAAATATCTACTAAGATGCTAAACTATTCTTTACATAATTTAAAATATATTTTTCTTGTAGTTTATAGATATATCTAATTATTTCACATGTAACTACTATATATGTAACATATTTGCCGATGTATACAATTATTCATTGAAACAACAATGCAAAAATTAAAAACATTAATGTATACCTATCATTCTTATAGTACAAAAAGAAAAAAATATATTTTTTCCTATTACATTTAAGCATTAAATTGATTTTTAAATAATACTTTATTAATATGCAATATAAATATTAACATACCTAGAATACAATGATATATTATGTGAACGTACTTACCTCATCCGATTGATAATCTCCTCCGGTGACCAAACCATTTTTTTTAAAATATTCCCAAGCTTTTATCGGGTAGCCTCCATGACATCCAAACCCACACCTATGGCAACAAAACGCTAGTTCTTCTGGTGACAACAATTCGTTGAACTCTCCATCAGTGGCTATACATAAACGGTCAGCAAAAGCTGAACTTGTACCGAATGCCTAGAACAATGTGATAAAGTCAACTTGTTGCGTCAATACAATGTCATCGCCGTGCAAACAAACGTACCCAGCATGATCCGCATTTTCCTTGATCGCGAACCTTTCCAATTGTTCGGCAATTTCTCCATTTTTTCCTAGCATCGAACTTAGGTGGTATTCTATCGTTTAATTCGTTATAAGCATCGTCGTGTGTTTTAAATTCGCTCAATTTGGTTTTTTTGGCTAACTCTACCCCTTTGGATCCTAAAAGTTGTAAGATTGCCTCTTTCGTCGTTTTGGGATCAAAGTTAATGCCCGCCTAAAATTAAACAATTATACTTAATATTAATAAGATTATTCTACTATTAAATAAATAGATGGATTTTTTGGATTTTTAAAGTATAATATATCACAACCATCTTTAAAGTATAATATATTTTAATTTTTTTTTTTTTTTTACAATTATATATATAATATATAGCCAGTGTTGCGCAAAGGTAAATAAAATTTATCTAGAAAAACATCAAAGATAAAATACTATTTATCTGGATAAAAAAAGATAATATTTTTTTTATTTTATTCATTTTTCTATGCTTTTTTTTATAAATTTTTACTTAAAAAATCTAAACAAATTATAACTAACTAAACGTTGATCTAATAGATACCTTCAATATAAAAAATAAACCAAAAATATTAATATTATATTCATTTATGTATGGGAAATAAGTAATGAATAATAAGTATTAACAAGTAAAAATTAATAATAAATATCATATATTGAAGTAATACAACTTTTAAAATAATAGTAACTAATTATAAAGTTAATAAATTAATAATATTTAGAAAATTTGTATTAATTTTAAATTTTTATTAGTTTTTAACTTTTAAGTTCAATTTTCCGAATTTTTTGAATTATTATACTCTTATTTATTTATCTAAATGAATTAGGTTAGATCATTTAATATAATTCATCGGATAACTAACTTCGTTATATTGATAAAATAAAAGATTATTAATTATTTATCTAAATAATGTTCAACACTGTATATAATATATTTTATATGTATTGTAATTATTATTTTGTACGTATTAAGCTTTTCAATTAGAATGTTGGCATGTCCAAAGCCGGATTAATGCAATTAGTGAGTCTGGGCTAATTTATTTTTGGAGGTCCGAATTTTACAAAAAAAATAATTTTTATTATAATACGTCAATTGATATTTATTAGTTAAATACGAAAAATATCTATTTTCAGAGAGTAAATTTACATTATATAATTAATTTATTAAAAAATACAATTTAATTAAGTGTTAAAATTTATAATATATGGTAATAATACAAAAATACAAACTAATGATTATTTAAAATATAATATAGTTGTTTTTCAAAGAAGTTTTGGTATTGCACTACAATTGTCAATATCTAAAGACACTGCTTTTATATATTGATAAATATGTGATAGTTCTCTTTTCAAGTTATAATTTAAATCGTTTTAATAAAAGTGAATACAGTTATTTAATGAATCAATGTCTGTTTCATTGTCATTTTTAAAATTAAGTAAAAATTTGAACTAAGAAAAAAAAAGATTATAAGAATTTAATCTTTTTTCAAGTTCAGAAATTAAGAAAAGGATATTACCCCTTATCTGAAGCTATGAAATAAGACGAAAAAAGATAGGACATTACAGTGGCGTAGCGTGGGTTTCAGCTTAGTGTATGCATTGAAATAGTAAGTTAATAAAATCGTGGGGGCTACGCCCCCCCCACACCCCCTAATACTTTTCCTAAAAATTTAACTTGAAACATACAAAGTTTTGAGTATTTTTTTATGTATATTACGTTAGTACATAACACAATATTATATTTAATAAACAAAAAATAAATCACTTTTTAAAAAAAATTAACTTATTAACAAAAAAATTACTTATATATTAAATCAATTCTTCTATTTTTAATAAAAAAACTATTGATTACTTCATTATGAAACGTAGATTATTTTTTCAACTCTACCAATAATTTTTTTTCTATTGACAACATTGATAATGATGAAAGACGATTTTATTCTTGGGAATTTCTTAATGAATTCTTAATCCTTTTAAGGGCCGAGAATGAACGTTCTGCTAATGCACTAGAAGCAGGAATAGTTAATATCAATGAAATCAATTTTGTTGCTTGTGGTAAGTTTTCGTCTAAATTGGTGGTTTTTAAACAAATTAAAAGATCTTAAACATTAGGTTTTTGAAATTCTTCCGTTGAGTAGACAACCGAAAGTTCACTTCTCAGTTTGGGTAAATCAAAATATTTACCGTATAATTGTTTCAACGAATTGAATAATTTTATAGAAAAATCATTAGCATATAGACTAAATTTTTTTAAGTCTAATAATGCAAAAAATTGTAATTGATTAAAATTTGAAAATCTTTCTTCTACCTTATTAATTATAACGTCAATTATTTCAAAAAATAGTCGTCTGTAATTAATTTTTTTATCTCCAGAAACTTGATTAAATCTTTGCCTTTTTAAACAGTGAGTTTGAGGCTGTACTACTTCATTGTTTATAATTTCTAACTGTGACCAAATGTCATCAAAACTTGACCTGACAGTATTTAAATAAACAATAAAATCGTCAATCTTTTTGAGCAATAAGAAATATCAAAAACTTTTTTTTATAATATTTCAAAAATAATCGTTACTTGTGGTAAAAGTATTGAAAATAATTTAAGGAAAAAATTGAAATCAAAACTTTGAAGAATTGCCACATACCCTTTAGCAGAAGACAATGTTTCCGAATCCCAATTGTGGGCATTTTCTATGATTGATTCCATTAGATTTATAACATCTAGTTTATGTTCAACCATCATTTCAATAAGTCGACTGTTGTAATTCCATCTTGTTGGAGCTACTGATGGAAAACGTTTTTTAACTACATTATCAAGTGCATGTACTCGTTTGGTAGATTTTGAAAAAAAAGACGATAAACCAGAAAGGGTTGAAAAAAATATTTTACAATCTTTAATATGCTCAACTGACTGTTTTAATACAAGATTTAATTTATGTGCATAGCAATGTACAAAAATAGCATTTTCATATTTCGAACGCACTAACGATTGCAAACCATTATGTTTCCCGGACATAACAGCTGCCCCATCATACGTTTGGACTATTAATTTTTCTTTACATGCATACTTTGAAATAAAACTAAATACATGCTCTGATAATGCTTTCACTGATCGATCTTCACTAACATCAGTAAATCCCAAAAATCTTTCGACAACTCCGTTACCATCAATGGTATTAACATAACGCAAAACTGTTGATAACTGTGACTTTGAAATAATATCGGTTGTCTTATCCATACTGATTGCAACAAACGGAGTATCACGTATTTCATTTTCAATTTGTTTAAGAAGAACGTTTGAAATTGATTGAATCAAGTCATTTTGTATTTCCCCAGATAAACCAGTAAATATAGTGGACGTTGCAAGATGTGTTTTTAACAACTCATCACGCTGGGCCATTGAGTAAATAAGTTCAACATAATTACCCTTATTAACAGATGAATCTGATTCGTTGTGGCCTCTAAATGTCAATTCTTGTTGAGCTTAAAAACACATTGAATCTATCATACTACTTAATATGTATCTCTTGTTTTTTACTGTAACATTATGTTTTTCGATATTTTTTCTGAAAGCTTCACTCAAACAAGTATATATTCTTATTTTACCAAATTTAGTTAAATCTATCAAACATTGTATGTGATTTTTAGAGGCTTCGTGACGACTTTTTAAATGATGAAAGTTATTAAGATCGTTGAAACCATATTTAGTCCAAAAATTTTCTTCACGAGAAAAAATAACATATGGCCAACAATATAGTTTATTTGTTTTTTTACAACCCGATAACCACTTATATGTACTGTAATACTCATATATAAATGTTCGAAAATAATTTTTTGATTTTGTTGTTAAATTAGGTAATTCTTGTGTGGGTCTTCCTGACTCAATAATACTTTTTTTCTCATCAAAATTTAGTGAACTGAAAGGCTTTAAAAATAATTTTTCGATTGCCCACTCACATATTGTATTATTTGTATTCATTATTGTTTATTTAGTTTAAATAGTTTTTATTTAAAAACGATATGTCACACTTATAATATAAAATTAATAATACGCACTTTACAACTTTAAATAATAAGTGTTAATTATAGCAATATAGCCGGCAGAATACACGATAGACGGCTTTATGCGATAGCGTATGCAATACTGATCCTGCATACATGAGTGACGAAAACACGACCGCGAGCATTCTATGTTTTGTTATTAATATTATCGATAAGAAATATAAATAGCTATCGCTGAATGTCTGTACCCGTATGCAATCACCAACGTGCATACTGCGTACATAATGAACATGTTACATGATAGGTACTAGCCATTAGATATAAATATAACGGACCACAACGCGATGCAGCCGTAGTGTTGATAATTAATCAGTCCTAATGAATTTGAAATATATAAAAAAATATATGAAGAAATATACAAAATGTTAAATTAATACAATCAAACATTTTTTTTTATAAAAATATTACATTATTAATATAAAAAAAATTATTTTTTCAATTTATGAAGTGTATGCTGTGCATATATAGCATACACACACGCTACGCCACTGGGACATTGCGTGTTTTATGTACCTATCTCATTCAATATCATGGTTGTCACAATTATTTCAAATGATTAATATGAATGTATCTTTAAATAAGTATTGTTAAAACCACTTAATTTTATTTTTAATTGTAAATATATAATTGTAGAAAAGCTGCAAACCCATAATATCTTTTTCGGGGTCCCTTTATTGTGAGGGGCCTGGGCTATAGCCCGCTTAGCCCCCCCCCCTTAATCCGGCTCTGACCGTGCCTATAAAATTTTCTTCCTCTTTCGCTCATGCATATCGAAACTAATAATTTATTCTCTTAAAAGATCCTTAATGATCTATTGAAAACAATAAAGCTCTAGATTATACTTACTACGAGTTTTAATAATATTATAAGCATAACCCTATTAAAAAAAAATATGTAACACTTTTTCTGTAGGTATATAATATTAATAATTATTTTTTTCCAACAATTTAATATATTTATATTCGGTACATTATTCTAAGTTAATATTTCCAATTAACTTGATTTGTTACTAATTTTTTGTATTGTAAAAATGTAATTAAAATTCTACAATGATAATATTATAACACTCTTACTTTGATGTACAAAGAAATTTCAAAAATGTCAGCCACTCGACAAAATATTTCTCTCGAAAATAAGGTTTCTGGTTTTTAAAAATATAAAACTTTGGATTCTCAAATTACATAAAAAAATAATTATTAACAAGTATGATAATTTCAAATTTTTATTCATGTGGTTGAAATATAAATAAAATACCTATACCGTATTTAGTATAATTTGCATATTAATAAATTACTGTAATGAACAATGTGTACTTTGATTTATAATTTTTCATACTAAAAATGTATGTATAGCAGTGCCGTAGCAACCAAACATAGCACCCGGGGCAAAACTTCATAATGCGTCCTTATTTATTTTTAATTTAAAAATATTTTGCTTATTAGATTTTATTTGTCAATGATTGCTTTAATTAGTATAAAAGATGTTAAAGATTTGGTAAACAAAATATACGACATTGACTGTTGTAATTTTTAACATTAAATGCAAGATTTTCATTTTTGCGCTTTTCCAGAAATTGCGCCCGGAGCGTAGGCACCTCTCGCTGACCCTTGCTACGGCCCTAATGTATAGTATTGATTAAACGTTATATTACCTTCCAAGTCGTTGCTTGTGCATTGATCTGATCGATGTAATCTTTCTCCAAAAAATATGCCTGTTCTGTTTGATACACGCTGAACAAAATTACGGACAGCAAAATGCAAAGCCGAGTCATTGTAGTGTTGTTATAGTATATCTGAATATTTTATACGGAATCAATTGGCGTCCGTTGTGACAGTTACAACGGTAGCTAATGAATTCGTAATTCTTTTTGGAGTATTTATATAATCCAATCACCGATTGAAGTACTTGATAATATGGTGGAAATTATTATTTGAAAAATTAAACACTTAAAGATAATTTGTGTTTACTGTATTCTAAGAAATAATAAAATAAATCACAATCTTTTTCAAACCTTATCGAATTAACTTATTTCCAAATACTTAAAAAAAATTGTTTTTTTAATATATAAAAATGTGAATTGTAATAGTTTTCCAATTAATATTATTTTATCAAATTAATACAAATATTAGATACATATTTTAATTATTGACTATCCAAACTATTTTTCATGTAATTCAGAAGGAGCGATAAGTATGGTTGTAAATTATTTTATTGTTATCTACGTACCAACTTTTAATTGATCCAATCATATGGTTGTATCAATATTATAATTTGCTTTACTATAAATTAACTATAAAGTATTTTAAATATTTAAAAATCTAAATAACCAAGTCCATTTCTCACAAAATTTATACGTACCATTGATAAATATACCAATATTTGAGTTCCTCTTTGAAACTAAAATATTTAATTTTAATTATAAATAGTATTTAATTCTATTAACTGTATTTTTATTATACTTTTAATGAATAATAATTTTGATTTTTCTTTTATTTGATCTCACAATATTTCGTTTTAAATACGACCAACAAATTTTCTAATTCGTTGAAGTTTAAATTATTGTTAAATAAATTTCATATGTAAAGCGTAAAATTTAAATTGAACTAAATTATTATTATTTTTTTATATAAAACAAGAAATAATAAATATTTTATTTTTTTAGAAACTAAAATTTGGTGCCAGACTAAATAATATTTTATTAACGATAAATTCTTGTATTGGAGTAATAATAAAATCAAAATATTTTAATTAAATTATAAAAAATAAAATTGTTGATACCATAGATATATTTCGTATTTTCTTATATGGTGACTTATGTAATATTTATAAAAATATTCAATAACATAATGTTTATTATTTATGCACGTATATATCTTTGGGTGATAATACATTTTCTGATTCTGTAATTCTGATTTTGTATAAATTCAAAGAGTTCATTATTTTAAACTATTCATATATTATATGTTAATTTTCATTAATAATCGATAAAAATATTAATTAATCACTGGCTGTAATATTTTAATTTAAAAATATAAATTTATCCCTTGTGATTTCTTTCGTAATTGCAATTATTAACGAAACTTATAGTTACATCATGGCTTAAAACTTTTACATTTATATATTGTTTAGTTGTGTTACATTTTTAAATAATTATAATTTGTTTCCTGGTCTTTGAATGTTAACATAACCCAAGAAACAGAAATTCTACGTAGGAATTATAGTTATAAGCAGAGTTATAGCTTATAGCTCTAAAATAAGTAATTATAAATGCTTAAATATACACTAAAAATACAAAAATATATGAAAAAATAATAGCACGTAAAAAATAATTTTCACTTATTATTAAAAAAAACATATCATGTATAAAAAAAATGTAAGCTCTTATTATTAAAATTCCGATCGCATCGCTATGTGATACATATAAGTATATAATTAAAACCAAAAGAAGAAGAATTAGTTAATTAATATGAATTAATTACAAATATAAAAATTAATAATACTATAATTACTTGTTATTATTAAGAAAAAATGTTTTAAATACTACGGAATTTAAAGACCTAAAAAAGCAAAATAGCACTTATACTTTGAAATATGTAAAAGTATGCTACATAAAATTTCGTATTTAGTTATCGATAATCAAAATCGTTATCTGAAACAAATGTATAATTCACATAGGTATTTCTAGAACCTCCCAAAAAAAAAAAATGTAAATGCTATAATTTATGACCCCTGGTTATAAGTATAACTAACTTTTTATATTAGACCAATTGTATTATTAACGCAGTATTATAAAAAATAATTATTTGAAAGCAAAAATAGGTAGGTACTTAAAATTAATTATAATCTTTGTCTTGTTATAATCTTCAAGAAGTTCATTATTTCGGATAGTAGGTCAAGTGAAATGCTTATTATAAGCTTATCATTATTTTATAATTGACTTTTGTAAATTCGTATTGAAATAAAAACAAAAGTTATAATTTAAAACAAAATAGTACACACGAAATAGATGGATATACTCCATTAACTATAATTTCTTTATCAATAAAAATATATACAACTATTACGTAATTCACCGCATTGAATATCTCTGCTAAATACGCTTTTGCACTTTTTTAATTTAATATTATTTTAATGTTATTTTTATATTTTTGGTAGTAGTATTAGTATTCGAATAAAGTAAAAAAAAAGTAATGTATTAAAAATAATAAAGACGATTTTGTTTGCACTCTGATATACTCGTATTATAGGTATATAGCGCTGAAGTGTAGTGTATAATAATTATTCATTATGTTTTGGTGAAAAATAAGCTTAGATTTAATCCTTAGATGAAGACACGCCCATTACCCAAAAAATGTATAATCCTTACATTTAATTAGTTTTGTTTTCATTACTACGCACTTATTATACGAACCCAGTAACACTCAAAATATAAAAAAATCATTATGCAATAACAATTCTTCGTACTTTAATCGAGTACATATAGTCAATCTTTTAAAAAAATACTTTAAAAAATACTTTTCGTTTATATTTAAATATAGTTTAAATATATTTAAATATATATTTATACATCAAGTATTTAAATAGTATTCAATTACTTTTGTCAATAAGTATTTAACAATAAATACAAATAGTTTTTAAAAACATATTTTGTAACTTTATAGTCAATACTTTTTCCTTAATATTTAAACTTTAAATTCAATAATTGAGATCACAACATATTTGAACGGTATACATATATAATATATTGGTATATTTGTTACATATAGTAGGTTAATATTATATATTATTAATAAAACGATAGTTTTACTTTCTTTTTAATATTCTGTTTTATTTTAAATATTTTTAATTGACTTGTAGTTTTACTCTACAAATTATAAACTAGGTATTACTGTATTTCATATATACTTAATAATATAATCAGGGGTGGCTCGTTAGGGGAGACTTTGAGATTGCGTTTCCCTTCAAAGAAAAACAGCTACTTGTAAATAATAACTATTTAAAAATTAAAATATTAATCGCAGATAAAAAGTGACGCAAAACTGAATAAGTTTATAAAAAAAATTTGGTATTAAATTATATTAAAAATATTCACTAAGTATTAAATTATGTATTAAGTATAATTAATTTTCCAATAAAAGGGTTTTTCTTGTTTGTTGCTGTACGGAGTTTCTGTTAAATGATTTAAATCTCCCCAGGATATTTACCACGAGCCGCTATTAAATATAATATTTCATATTTTGTGCCATAATAAAAATCTAATGTAACATGACTATAAAATTATGTTACAAAAATTAAGTTTATTCAACAAATAACAATTTCTTCATTACCTATTTTATTTTATAAAAAAATTTGCCTACTTAACATAATTCATTTTTAAATTATCACAATATTACAATTTGAATTGATATAATTTAATAAAATTATATCATCTAATATATATGTATATATACTATCAATTATATTATTCTGTTTATTTATAAATATCGAGTTGAAAAAATAAATGATTTAGTAAAATTTGAATTATTAATTTTGGTATCGAAACCTATTAGAAAAAAAAATTCTAATCATATTTGTGAAATATTCCAAATACCTAGGAAATACTATCATTATAAATTATTCGGAATATGTATTCCAAATGCTTCTAATAATAAGTTTTTACCGAAGTCTGCCAATAAGTCATTGTAGAGCAGATCAAACCATATTTGTAGTATAAATTAATCATGAAATCCGGTTCTAAACAGTAAATGAAGTACACATACATATATTTTGGTCCCAGTGGATTCCGTTTTTGATAAATTTTATAGCCACAGTACATAAATAATACATATTAAGTGTCTATTTATGTCTCGAAAGTTCATAAGTACAGTACAGTTTAACTCGAAGGTTTTAGTGAGCGGTTCGAGAATAGCTAAACAACGTCCCCATATTAATAAGCCATAAACCTTAATAAAAACCGTATATAGTTTTGTTTAGACGTTTATAAGCACACAATGCATATCACTGATCTTAGCGTAGCTTTATATTGCATTGGTTATTTTGATTTTTATTATTTTTAGTGTACATTATGCGCGTATTATCAGATTGCAGTGGACAATATCATCCATTTTTTTTTTTCTTATACACTTTTTTATTCACGCGTTTGTTTATTAATAATGTACAATTAAAACGCTCCGAAATATTTAAATTAGAATTATTGAAAATTTTTAAAAAGTTTTATCAATGTTCAAAAAATAACGTTTACGGTACTGAGACGGATCGGGATAACGGCGTTATCGTACCGCTAAAAACGTATTGTGAGTTTCTGGAAAGTTTCACTAGTTTATTTTTACAGAATAATCTAGAACATTCGTGCGTACATGCATTTTGTGTTGCCTACACGTCACGAAGGTTCTAGCATGATCTGTGATCACTACATACACGTTATCCTGTTATTTTATTTTATACGTTTCGAAATATTGTATACAATAATTTATATGGTAAATAAAATTTAATGATTAACTGTACAGTGTACGTTATATAATTTTATATAATGATTAATAAATAATAATATAAAATATTATAATATAATAATAATCAATAAGATTAATAAATCTTCGCCGTAAAATGTATTATTATGGGTTTCCATTATCATTCTATCATAATAGATTACATAACAGTCACAAATTATAAATTATGAAAAAATTGAAAGTTGGTGTACTAATTATAGCAAGTTGATTTTCGATATTGGAAAGATTAAAAAAATATAATTATCAATGATTTAAGTTTTAAAAAAAAAGTAATATAACTATGTAGTATTAATAATAAAGTAGATAATAATTAAATCATTACAAAACAAATGAATCATACATAATTTTAGTTGTTGATGAATAATAATTATGAAAATTAAAATATAATATATATATCATATTTGAAAACCGAATTAATCAATTTAAAAAAATAAAATATTAAGTTCCATATAGCAAGATTGAACATTCTCGATTTTAGAGTGTACATCGATACAGCCGACTGATGTTCATAAAATTAATTAATCAATTAATTTAATGTCATCTATATTAATCAAGATTTAATACAACATATTGTTTTTAAGAGTTTTTGATAAGTAACAATTTTTCATTTTAACATCGGAAAAAAATCATGGTCTGTCAATTTTATGGCTGTCTATCGAAATCAAATAAAATTACTTTGTTTAAATCATTCTTAAAAAATAAATCCAATAGCTTTTATTAAATTAGATTTATATTTAACAAATATGAAAAATAAAATAGCTGTACCAAAATTTTCAGTTCTGTTACCTGGAAATATTGGGAAAATCTCATTGAAATTGATCTATCATTTTTAGTTGACTGGTATGTAAATTATATAATTTAAATATTTATTGTTCTCTGAATTATATTTTTCTAATTGTAATTATACATTTGTATAAGTTAGTTTTATGTATGTTCTAATGTCTCGAATTTGTTTACATCCCAAATGAGCAATCTGTTTTCATAGTCTGTGATATGATTGAAGAATAAAATCAAAATTATATATTTATAATTTTGAATTGTAATTGAATTCTAAAAAAATTTAATCAAATAGAACTAAAATTGTTTATCATTTATTAATTTTATGAAATATCTTACATAAATATTATATCCACAAAAAAAATAATAATAATAAATAATGTCATCAACTACTTTAACATTTTTCATAAGGTAAATATAATACAGTTAACATTATTTATTAATTAAAATTACTCTTTTATAATACCGCTGGTGATGAATAATTTTGTATTATATAACCATTCCATTAAAAAAAAAAAAAAAAAAAAAAAAATTATACAATTTAAACTAATATATACAACTAACTAATCCACATTTTTATAATACAAGTAAATGTATTTAAATAAAAACAAACAAATTTTATCAACAGTTACAAAACAATAAATATTATATTTTAACAAGTATACTTTTATAATAGATTTGATTTATTTTCAACTTTCCATTTGTCATTGATTTGAATTAATTTACCATCTTTTGTTAATTTATGAAGATGACGTTCAATAACATAAGATGCAGCTTCTTTATGATTATCAGAGAAGCACTATAAAAATAAAAAAACAAATATATACATATATTATTAAAAGAGATACTAGTGATGGGTCGAACTGTTCGAATCTCGAACCGAACCAAACCCTTGATGTTTGGTTCGGTTCGAAATTCGAACTCGGCATGAAAAAAAATCGAACCGAACTATCACACATCTTTTACTGTTCAAAAATCAAACTTGAAAATATTTGTTGAACCAGACTTATTGGCCACGATAGTTCGAAAGCCAAATATTTGTACAATTCTTCAAAAGTTATTTTTGAAAAATAAAAATTGATAATGATTATTTAGAAATAATTAGACTATTGGCGATAGAAAGTGATAATTTGCAAAGGGCACGTTATGCATTATTTATAATAATAATGCTATTGTTATAATAATCACGTTATTTTCCAGTCACATGTTACACATTCACCCTCCACCGACCAAAACATTAATAAGTTGTTTATCGTCAATAGAGGCAGTGTACCTACCTATCTACATCCATAAATTAACTATTTTTGTTTTTATCATATTTATTGTAAAACATGTTTACAACTTACGTTTCACATTATAAATTCTACTAATCATTCTATATTTGTGAATTTATTATTTTTTTTATATATTATTAAAATGTACTGATTTGTATTGTCATATTACACTCAATACTCAATATTCAATGAATATTTTATAAGCTACAAGACAACACGAGAAAGCACAATATTGGTTTTGAAAAATAATAATAATAATAAGAAATTATCTAAAATTTAAATGTATTTAAAATAATACGATTACTTAGAATTAAAAGTTAAAATGTAAAATAGGTAATACAAAAACTTAAAATACAATAGTAATTGATAATTATGCTTAATTTAATTTGTAGGTAGGTACAATGTACATAATAAAAAGTATTGAGTTCGAGTTCGACTTAAAATCATAATAGATTTGGTTCGGTTCGGTAGAAAATATGAAGGTTCGGTTCAGTTCGAAAAAATAATTTAAAGTTCAGTTCGGTTTAAAAAATCAGGGTTCGTCCCATCACTAATAGATACATATTATGTATTCTTCATAATACTAATTTTAAACTGAACACATATCGCTCTTAAAGAACATTAAATATTTAATACAATTCACAGAATTTTATACATCACCTTGTGATAGTAATGAAAATTACATATTATTATAGTAAACCACAAATGAAAATTGGATAGTAACATTTATCATAAATGCTAGTTATTAAGGTAAAAATAATTAGATATTTATTTAAAATCTTAACAATACCTGATATATAGTACTCATAATATCTTCAATCGAGAATGATGTATCAGGACTTTTATTGAATAAGTTAAGTATTTCAACTTCTCTTTCCAATCTATGTCGTATATAATTATTTACCCGAACAATTGGATCCTGAAAAAGTAGATACAAGGTTCTTTAGTTTATTACATTTTAAGTATAGTATGATAGGTTATTAAAATCATGTTTACAACATTAAATAAATAATGGAATATACTGAATATATTAATTTACCAATCTACAAGAAATATTAGACTTAATATTACAATTTTATTTTTTTGTATAAACTGTTAATTCAAATAAATAGTATATTTTACATTTAAGTATGGTAAACTGTTATAATATATTAATACCCAAAATATTATATCAAAATAATTAGAGGCTATGGAAGTATTAACCCGTCATCGGTATCACCATTTTTTGAATCATGTTAGCATTAAGCAAACATTATGGTTTATACGGTCCTAAGAATAATAATTATGAATTATTATGAACTTAGAATAGTGCAACATAGATAAAAATGTTTCTCAATTTATATCCTACAAAATTTTGAATATTAATAGCAATTATTATTCAAATGTCTTTTAAAAAAAATGAAATACAAATTATTTTTTGAAAGAATACAAAATACATAAAGAATACTTATTATAAAAATTATAACTCTTCATTTGATATTTCCAAGTTTTCTTTTGTGGTATTACATGTTAGACAAGTAGAGGGGTAGTATGTTTTTTTACGTTTATACATTCCACATTCTTTGCAATATCTAAGTGAGAATCGACATCAGTATCATTGGAATTACTTGATACGTAATGAATCTCAGCCTCACTTAACAATGCAGACACTTTTTCACAATTATTGTCCATATTGTGAAAAAAAAAAACATTTAGACTATAGTGCAATCGAGACGCTAACAAAATCAGTACAACAGTTATTAACAGTTCAAAAGATTCACGAATAGATATTTTCATATTTTAACTGTTGTTATTTTAACATAATATTATGTCGATAAGAGGTACATGGAATTCTAAACAAATTGTCTCTAATTTATGAGTTTAATATTAGCGAAATGATAACCTTAATATCGATGACAGGTTAATATCAAACAACATAAATAATCACTTAATCAAATTATAATAAACTAACCATTTTTTTTATTGGTACCTGTTTTTAGTTATCTCATAGTTAAATTTCAAAACATAATTAAATTTTCACAATGGAAAACTGAGATACAGAACCTGAACTTATAGTACTTGTTTTTCCACTTTTATTTAATGATATTTTTAGAAGTTACAGAAATGTTCCAAAAAAATTAGGAAGTTGAATAATGTTAACTTATCAATAAATACATTAATTACATTTATAACAGATCCATGACCGGGAAAAATAACAGTTGGCTTTAGTTCTAAAATTAAATTTAATGAATTTAAATATTCATTTAAATCTTCAAATACTGTTGTTCCTTCTCCAAGTACACAATCCGCAGAAAATAAAGAATTATCCTCTTCTAAAGTAAGAATTATATGATCAGTTGTATGTCCAGGAGTATGATGAATTCTATACAAATTAAATATTCTATCTATAAGTGACATCAGTATAATAAAAATGTAATTAAAAAGAAATACCAATAATTACATTAGAGTAGCACCTTCAATTACAAATGTTTGTTTATTTTCCAAAAAATTTAATGGAAAGTTATATTCACGTTTCTTATCTTCTTTAGGATTAAACTTCCAAACTTTACATTCTGTAACATGAATAAATTGTTGAGTTCATTTGATTTCTATTAATTGGAAAAATATATATATATATATATTATTTAGTATGTTTTTCCAAAACGTTTATTCCTAAAATAACAAGTTAATAGTAGTTATTAGTACCTTATATTATTATTAATTTATACTTAATTGTTAAGGAAAAACAGTTCGTTATACAACAAAGAAAAAAAAATATTAAGTAACTTGTTATAGATACCTATTTTACCTCACATTACTTGAAAAACAAAGTTATAATAATTTTTTAAGTTTTAATTTATAAAAACATTAACAAAAATGTTAAGATTTTATTTGTACTAAATACAAATTAAATTTATAAGTTTATTCCTCTTTTAGAGTTTAAGACTTTAAATTTATCACAATAAATTTATTTTGTAAATTACATTAACTTTCAACTAATAAAATGTATGGATTAATATTTTTAAATAGGTATATTTAATATACCTATAATATGTAATAGGTAATTATACAATAAGATTTACTATATTAGATTTAAAGACACTAAACTAATATTATGAATGTGATAATTTTAACTTTTAAAAAATAATTGTAAAGTTTAATTTATTCAATTAAGTTATTTTAGTTATTTTAGAAAACAATTTTTAGATTTAGAGCCATTATTTTTAATGTTAAATAATTCTTTTGCAAAAATTTGTTTTTTATTGGATTAATAAAAATTATAAAAATATTTAAAAAATCAAATTATACTTAAAAGAGAAGAAATAAAACACATGCATATTTATAATAAAAAGCAATATAAAATTACCATTTTTATTGGTGATCATATCCAATACATTATTAACACCACCAATATGATCCTTATGTCGATGTGTTATGATGATATGATCAAACTGAAAATTATGTTCAATCATAGTTTTTTGAAGATTTTTTATGTAGTCAGGAAAATTTGGCTCTCCTGTATCAATCAATATACGTCTATAACAAAATTGTATTTTATTTAATCAATTAATAGCTTAAAATATATATAGTAGTTATAAATACCACAAATTAATTTACTTTGCAATTTTTTGTAATTAAAATTTTACATTTAAAAACAAATATTTTTACTACAATAACTAGTACTTCCAAATGATGAACCTCATAATAATCCAAATCATGCGTTGTTATATATATAAATGGTTTTTATTTTCTAATTAATGTGTCCAAGAATATACATGTAGAAAACGTTTTAAATATTTAAATATTATTCTAATTACTATACACAAATCATGTTGATTATCTTATTAAGCATATTGTATAACAATATACCTAGGTAGACAATTAGATAACAACAGAAACTAAAAAGTTTAGCAAACGTAACATGCTAGACATTGTTTTCATAATGTATAGAATAATAATATTCAGGATTTTTGGTGATTAATACAGTTAAAATGCATAGTACCTACATATAAAAGAACTTCAGAATATGTAAATATTGATATTTAAAATAAATAAAAATTAAGTTTTTCAATTTTCAACAATTTCGTAATAGAGTTATCAAAATAAGAACAAAATGATTTGAAATGTTATAGTATAAAACAGTAACTTTTTCATAGGTATTGAAATTAAATTGAAATTAATTTTTATAGTTTTGATTGAAAAATAAATTAAAATACATCATCAATCTTCTCGATGATTTGAAAACTAAAACATAGGGAAAACTATTGAATAAATAATACTCGGAATAATAGGTCTTGATTAATAAAATTGCTAAAAGCAATATATATAGAAGACATTGAAAGAATAACTTGTGATTCAAAAATGAATCAAAAAATTTTAAATAAGGTTTCAGCAAGATTCAGTAGTAAATATGTTTATTAATGACTAGCAAACTGGATCAAAAATTAAGATTCTTTTAGAGTAATCCATTAAATAGACTATATGTACAAATAACTGGTGGGCATAAACATCAGTGAATGAATAAATACCTTTGGCCTGTTCCGATCACATATGTGTTTGTGCCCTGCAGCGTCATGAATCCAGGATTGCATCCCAGGACACGCAGTACTCGCGGCGAGACGCTGCTGACATCGGGTATGTGAGGCAACGACATTTTTGAACGAACAGGTTTTTTTGTGGTGCTGCTACAATGTTTGCGAAGACCGGTGAATGTCTGACAACAGTGGGAACAGATGATCGACGACGCGGACCAAGATGACCATCCGAGCAGTCGAGCGGCGAAAAACATTGAACGGTCGGACTGATGAAGGTAACAGTAGAGTAATGAAAACGAACGTAATAATTGCGATTCGGGAAAATCGATCAGATAACGCGAAAGCAACGAACTCGAATAATAATAATTGGCGTAAGTCGATTAATCCGATACGGTGGACAACAGCGATAGTGTTATTAATTGATCAATAATTATTATCATCGCGGTGAACGCGCTTCATTGTTGCCGTACGAATAATAAAAAAAAAAAAACGCGCTTATTAACTTGGAGGCGACGACGTCGGGCTGCCGCCAAACAATGATTCACAGTTGGACGATTCAACGATTCGGTTGCACAACAACGATAGCCGTAACCGTTTGTGATAACGTTACCGATTGAAATGCACGCCGCGTACCGTGCACGTGCGCGATACCTATAGTGAACGGCAACTACCGTCCGAGGCGCAGAATGAAATGCAAGATCAGTATAGATAACAATATAAACGAGTATACAACAACCGTTATCCTTGAAACGTCGAGTAACATTGACATTCGGTGCTTATCACGCGGTTGTTGCGCCGTCGGACGGCACGCGGCGATCGTACGGCGACGTGACTCTGTAAACCGGGTTTATCGGAACGATCGAATCGTTTCGATCGATCGTTGCGTATGAATAAGACGTTGTAGCGATTTATTGGAATTGGATCGGATGGTTGATGCCGACCGGCATACATTTTTGCCAACCGTTACGATGTCTTGGAACGTCTAAACATTAGCAACCCGTTTATCGCTACGATTTGATTTAGTTTGCATTGGCCGTCCTCGGCATTAGAGAGGGCCCGTGGGAGGCAGTTTCCCCTACACAAAAAATATTAAGGAGATTAACTCATGATTTTGCCCCCCCCTCCCAAGTTAAATATTATTTAAAATATTTTTAATTCATATAAAATATTTATGTAAAAATGACGTTTGTATATAAGAAAATTATTTCCCATGGATTGTAGCACGACCATTTCTAAGGATTTGTGAATAGGCAATTTTTTGTAGTCTTGTCTAGTTGCGTGTCTATGTGTGTAAAGTAAATAAACGTTAGTGTGCGTGAAATATGGATTCCTCGAAACCCAAAGCAATGACAATGAGTAGAGCAGAGGACTTGTAGCATTTGCATATTTCTTTTGCACAGTCAGCAGAGTGCGAAACAAATATGTTGCATGCATCCACAAAGCTAGTTTTGAAATTTTATTGAGCATATAAATGCGTATTTTGCGTTTTTCTAGTTTTTAAGGCATATTTCTTCCATTTTATGCTTTTAGATGCATATTTTAAATAATTTATCATTTTATCAATATTTTTTCGTCGACCACTTAATTTATTTATTTATTTATACAGCTAAAATAACGTTTAATTTAAAATTATTTTAAATTTTGATCATAATATTAATATGGTTTTTGACTTTTCCCAGACCCATCATGGTTTTCCTAAACACACGTCTCAAGAGTTGTCGATTAGATTGATTGTCAGGTTATTAATTTTATTTATAGACACATGAGATAATATTGTTCAACGCACAAAATATTGATACGGGCCACGGGGACGCATGTCGCCGACATCGGACATATTCATATGTAGGTACCTATTTCAGTAATCGCTGTATTTCTCAACGGTTGACAGTCCAAACACATTCTATTTACTATTTATCATAAAAAATGCCTAAAGTAAGTATCCAGATAAGAAAACCCATACAGTAAACCCAATTAATTAATTGTAACTTGTAAGTTGTTAAATAAAGTTGTAAATAAAATGTATTCATTATAATAACTACCTTCTTATTTTTTTATTCTTATTTTTTGTTCAAAAAAATTCATTTTCAAAAGCATAATTTGTATATTCAAGTGCATATTTGGTGAATTTTTAGAGCTACAAGTACTCTGTCCTAATAATGAGTAACAACACAATATCTATCTATATAGTTGTTATACACTAAGTATACACTATCTATCAATCAATATACATTATAATTACTTCATCACGTTTTTTTCGTTTCAAGTTGGCCAAGTTAGGTTTTCTTCATGGTGCACATAGCTTGAGACGTGCTTTTTTACCCAAATGTCAGTCTTCGTTCATTTTAAAATAATTATAATATATATCTATAATAATTTAAAAAATAATCACCGACAAGAAAAACTGAACCTAGCTGGCAGGATAGTTAAAAATAACTAATTCTATTTGGTTTGTGCTAACACAAATATACTTATTATGATATATTTTATACTTTACAATAATTGTAATTATTACAATACATTATTATTTCATTTCCGTAGTCATTAGTTCTCATGGACTGATAAGGGTTCGAAATACAAGTAGTATTAAATTTTAATATTTATGTTATGGCTAGGTAATAAAATTCTTAGAAATGTTCTAACGCTCATACACGCATGCACAAGTCAATGAACACGAAAATAATTTTGCTCTGGCTGTAGGTCAGAAATTTGATGCAAATAGTACTAAAAGAGAAATAAAAATTAAACTTGTTTCAATTGACTTATATTAATTTTGAAAAGATAATTGTATTCGTCAGTCTATTTTTTAGGTTTGCTCGGAAATAAATTTACGATTTTATTTTTAGTTAATAAAATATGATACATTTTATATTTTTTTTTCGAAATATTTACATATTTTTCTCAAAATAAACTTATAATTGACTTAGTTGTAATTAGGAATGAAATTAAAAATATAAGAATCCACTTCCTAGCAAATGTATAAAAGAGAAATACAAATCAAATTTAGTTTTCAAAATTTAAATTGAGCTACTGGAAGAATATTAAATTTTCTTTCGCTTATTGAGCTAAATGCATGAAAAATAATGGTTACTTCAGCCCCCTTAATATAATATTTTAACTTGTATATTTATTATATTGTAATATATCTAGTATGGTGGTCCTTATTTTTTTAAAACACTTTTATTTTACAAAATGTCTGGTTATTATTAAGAATTGTTTTAACTGTTAAAGATATTTTACTAGCGTAGGCGTACAAATGGGGGGAGGAGTTGGGAGTAAATCTCCCAAGGAATAAAAAGGATGAAGAATACGTATATAATGAATATTTTAACGTGTGTATAAAGTGTAGTATTTGTCAATTATGATGGAATTACAAAAATATTAATTTTTCATCCAGAGAGATAAAAACTAGATGATTGATATTGAATATTTTTTATCAGTGCATTAATTTCAATTTTTAGGGTATTCAAATATTTTCTTGGTTTTTTTTTGTGATATTACTTTCCTATACGAATAGATATTGTGCTATAATAGAATATCCCTAAATAATTTAATTTGTATTTACATACAACAATTGCATTTCACATTTATTTTTATAGTATTTTATATTCACTCAAATTATGTGATAATTTTTTAAAAATGTGTAAAATAAATAAATTCAGCAAAATAATTCACTTCTTTCCTGGATAGAAATAAGGCTTATTGAAAATCAAGCTCTTGGTTAAAATTTGGAATTTATATCTTTCGTTATAACAAAATGTAGACAAAAAAAAAAAAAATGACACTGACAGATATATAAAATAAAATTTATTTTCTATAATATCTGTTAGATTTTTTTTTATGTAAGGAGTGATATAATATAAAATATTAATATCCAATAGCTTACAAGTTTCAGTGATATATAATAAACATGTATGAAATACTGTCTTATTATATATTAATATTTAATTTTTGGTTTCATTTTTTTCGTGTGACCTTTCTCAGCATTAGCGTTAGTAAACCAATAGCAATGTTTGAAGAAGAAGCTCACTTGCGTCAACAGATGGACCGTGATACATGGAAATTTATGAACCTCCAATTACTTTCACTCAGCATTAGAGGGAATACAGCAACAATAACATTCGCAAATAGTTTCAAATTAAATCATTATAGAGCAAAAAAACTACAATAACAATAGCATATGCTGGCGCCAATCCTGTACAATATCTACAGCAACGACCAGCCAATCACAGCAGATACAAGACACTTCAGATACGCCGACGACACTGCGATTGCAGCACAAGCTAACAGTTTTCAAGAAGTCGAGCAGCTATTAACTACATCACTTAAAGCATTAACAACGTACTACGAAGCGACCCACCTTTGTCCAAATACTCAAAAGACCCATGTATGCGCCTTTCACCTACATTCTATTAGAAGGGAGTAAAAACTGACTTTCCAATTAATTAACATACTATAAATAGTAAAGAATTGAATTTGCCTCATGACAAAAAAATTAAAGTTAAATAATATATTAAAATAAATTTGCATAGGTATTATACTGATATAGGTGTGAGTAACTATTTTATATTTTGTAGGACGATAATCTGTAAAAACATTATTTTTAACGAAGTAGGTAATACCACTGGTACAATGATACAAAAAGTTCTGCTATCTGCAAAGTATAGGCCTCAAACTTCTCTAAATTAATTCCATAACCACTTGCCATTTGTCTTTAAAACCATCCCAAATCGTTGTATAAGTTATAACTCTAAATTTGTTTTATCAGCACTTACGATATCATATTACCGTCATTAGTCGTTTCTTTGTCTATATTATGAAAAAACAAAATTTAATATTAAAAATTATAATTTAAAATTGAATGTATTATTTATAATTAATAGTACCATGCAAAACTACATCTATAAGAAGACCAGTTTCTATTCTAAATCGATCTTGTACATATTTTTTTCTTTTTGAACAAATAATTGTATCTTCAGCTGACCAAACCTGTTCACAAATAACACATTTGGAAGTCATAAAACTCATATTTTTCATTTATACAAAATAGCCATTGCTCATTATAGTCGTTAATCATTATACTAATCTGCCATTTTTTTAACTCCAATCTGTAGGAAATGTGTAATAGACATTCGAAAAATCGTATATACGCATGAAGTATTGACAGTCCAAAGTTGTAATACTCAGGTTGTTGGTACACTTAAATTTTTTGCTCGGTTAATATAATTCATATCACTTGAAGAACACTTACAGATGTAGCATTTTTGGCTTTATGAACTAGCTATTGAATTGCAAATCTAAAATATGTTTAAAAATCGTTTTTTAATTTTCATAGGTTGCAATATTGTGTCTATAATTCAAGACTTGACTAAAATATAAAATAATTTATTTAGTAATAAATTGTAATAAAAGTTTGTGAAACTTACTTTTTCGTCTATCATAGTGAACATTAATGTGCTCTGTACTTGAAATTCAATGCCATTTTTAAAAAAATTGAGTTGGAATCAACAACTTAATTTCTTCTAATGTTGACTTACTATTTGACAATATGTTGACGATGGACAGGAATTTTTCCATCAAACTACATTACTAGGATTGTCTATCTTTGTACATCTCAGCTGTAAAGAAACCAGTGAAAATGTAAGAATATCGGAGTCATCTAAGTCATTAGATGCATGAAAAATTTGCTTATATCGAGATTGACTACTGCTTCCATCACATCCCCATTTATATAATATTTTGTAATGGTTCATCGTTAAATCTATGGTTTGTATATCCAAAATTGAAAATATTCTCTGTATAATGTGATCAACAAGGTGCTGCAATTTAGTTTTAAAAGAATATTATGTAATTTGAATATTTGGTGGATAGCATTTTTTTTTACCGTTAAAACATTATCGTATCTCGGGTAAATATTTGCTTTACGTTCCTTAGCTGATTTACGAATATTGGTGTATTGTCTTTTACTTCGAGACAATTGGAAAATAATTTTTGAGGTCTACCGACATTTGATGTTGATGGTAATGAGGATGGTGTTGGTATTAATGATATTATTGGTGGCATAACAAATATTTCTTTTATCCAATCAAGTTGGATTCACTAAATCTGTGCACATTCCGTGAGCTTTTTATACAAAATTTGCTTAAAATAGCTGTGAAATTGGAAATGTATTATAGAAATAAATTTTCATATATCTCTTCCCAATTATCATCTTTATATATAATTTTAATATATTAAAGTAAATGTTGGTTAGACTCTACGGTTCTTGGATCCAAGGGCCCTTTTTCCTTAGGTATTGGAACAAATCATTGTACACGATTTGGATATTTTCATTGCTAACTAAAATTTGAAAATAATAATTATTAAATCAACTAACTTACGAAGTAAATACAAAAAAAAAAATATACATTACGAATATTCATGTAAAATTGTATTGTTAAAAAATTAAATAAATTTAAACTCGTATTTGATAAATAAAAACTGTTTCATTATGTAAAAAATTATCATTTGAGTAGGTACTGTTTATTTAATTATATTAATTATTTTTTTATGCATAAAATGTCGTATCTGCAACATTTCACAATCGCGACACTTTTTACGCAGTACGCATAACGTGTTATTTCCGTATGTTGAGTTGCCGCCGGTCGTGACCGTTAAGGCGTTCGATGAACAGTAATTTATTTCTATTTTTCCAACAAGTACACCTACATACGTGTGTTGCATGGCTGGATAATGTGTGCTTTCCTAACCCCAGGGCCGGTGATAGGGGGTGCATGAGAGGTGACGCACCCAAACTCGGTAATTAGATTTTCGAGTTAGCAATTTAACAATTTTATTCCCAAGTCACAAGTTGGGGTGGAATGAAAATATTTGAAGTAAAGCAATTTTTTGCATTTGGGGGTCGGGAAATTATATACGTTGAGTTGGCAAATTTTTAATCCTCCCTTCTATTAATTGTTAGTAGCACCAGCCCTGCCTAACCCCATCAATAATTGCCGATCGAAAGTAGTAATGATTCGTTTGTTGTTACAAAACAGTGATGTTTTTTTATAATATTGATGAAAAAAAAACAACTCGTAATCGTTTAAATTGCAAAATGCGTCTGACCGATAGAACGGACGGAAATAATAATCTGATAGGATTTCCGAATAGGTACTACATTATTTAAAATGATCAATTAAATTTCCGTAATTATATTTTAGAGTGACCATACGTGCCGTTTAAAACGGGATTGTCCCTTTTTTTATCATTATGTCCCATTGTCCCGACAAACTTTGAATGGGACGCTTTTTGTCCCATTTTTAGAATAGGGTGCCGTTTTAATCCCGTTACTTCCATAAAAATTGCTAACCAAGAATAAAAGAAAAAAAATAAGATATGTCTTATAATATACATGTACTACAAACTCATGCGAGACTTCTAACGAAATCCATAATTAATTCGAATAGTTTACCCATATACAGTAGGTAGTATTTCAACGGTATTAGGAATATTGATGCATTTAATCAAAAAATCGAACAAGTCTTATAGTAACGTGCGTACATTGCAACGATGTTGTGTTATTAACATTAAAGACACTGTATTAGTTCTTTTTATTTAAATTGTTGTGAGTCGTTAGTGTTGTTACTTTTATAGTTTTTTTTTTTTAAAACTCCTAAGAGGAGATGTACTGTACCTTTGCAGACTAACTAATGCAGTAATAGAAAGAATATTTTCAATTACAAATATTTTATGGACAAACGAAAAAAATCGCTTTCTCGTACCTACTGGCAAAACAATAATAATTCTTAAAAATAATTTTAAAAAGTATTCCTGTAACGAATTTTATTATTTTTTGTTAACACAACCAAAACTATTAAATACAATCAGTTTATCAAAAAATATTATGTCAAAGGATGTAATGAAGAAAATTATGAGTAATCGACATCAACTCAATAAAAATGAAGAATTTTTTTCAATCTCAAGTAAAAAAATAATGTAAACCAATGTCTTATTAATATATAAAACTAATTAAAAATTATTTTTGTTACATATAATATAGATGTTAAAATATGTGGTCTTTTTTTAGAGAACATATTTGTCCCGTTTTTTTCACAATTATGGACATCCTATTATACTCGTATGTTTAATCAACACAATTAAAAACTTTTAGTGTTCAAAAGTCAAAAACTATCACTTGAATACAATATTATAAATAGTAGTAACGTAATATGAGGAACCCAGTTGTTATTGTATCATTATTAAAATTGTTTCAATTATTAATGATAAGCAAGCCTGGACAAGTTAATGATCATTTTTAACCGAGTTGAGTTAAGTTAATGGAAAACATTTTAAAAAATTTCAAGTTTACAGTCAACCTAATTTTTTTAAAGTAATTTAAGTTACAAATTATACGAATATTTTCAATTAACTTATTAACTTAAGTTGTTTATTTATTTCTTAATATCTGTATAAATATCCTATAATATGGTTGAAAATAATAAAAATCATAAATATTTTTGAACAGAGGAAATAACCAATATCTTTTCTATAAACATAATTTAATTATGATGAATATAATTATGTAGTATAGGTACTAAAAGTATACAAAATGCCGAAATAAATACAATCTATTTGATTTATTAATACGGATCGGTAGGTATTATACATTTTTTTTTTTTAATTATTAAATAAAAATTACATGGTTTTTAAGAATGTACTTAATTTTAAACTCTAAATACTTTTTTAAGGAACTAAAAGTCTAAAGCATAACCCAATTGTTTTTAATTTAAAAATAACCTATTTATGACGAAAATATTTTATATGTTCTTGAGAATTGTACATTTGTGATCTATATGAATATAATAATGAATTATTATTATTGTTATTGTTACAATATGTCCGTATGCCGCAGTATGGTATGGTATATATTTATATATACGGTACACCTATATATTATAATATAATATATGACTATTGCTATATTTATTTAATTAAGTTATTTTTATTGAGGAATTATGGTTAAATTTAACTATATTTTTAATTTCCTATTCTAGTAAATGGTTTTTTAATATGCATTATCAATAATAATTTTAGTTTTTATTTAATTAATATTTTTTAGTTTAGTATTTATAAACTAACTTAACTTGAATTTGATTAAAATAATTCGATATTTATTAAGTTTATATCAATTAAAATAAGTTATGTTCAGAGTTAAGTTAATGGAAATTACAATAAAAAATTTTAAGTTAAAAAGTTAAAATTAACTTAACTATAACTTTTTACCTCATTTATACCCAGGCTTGATGATAAGTACGTTTAAGATAATGTAACGTATATTATATGATCTAAAAAAGTAAAAACAAATGTAACGCTGAATACTCAAACTTGGAATCATGCAATGGTACACTTCAAATTCGAAACTTCGAAGGACTATCTGGTAGGCTTTTCGCACTGAGTAATTCTAATGTAACTCGAAATGTCCTCAAATCGCGGTGATCGGTGATTTCTTAACCGGAGTGCAGGTTGCAATAATAATAATTAATAAGAATCAAATAGTGTATGTTGTAGAAGTTGCCATTCGTCCCGATTTAGCTGAGATAACAGACACTAGAGGTACAGGTTTTATACTCGCGGTTTCGAACTCGTATTTTATATATACCCCGGCCAAAGTGAGTAAAAAATAAATAAATACTGGTTTCCTTAAATTATTATTCCCGGTCGAACCAAACAATCTGCATTGCTCACCTCGGAACGCTTCTAATAGTTTAATGTTGGGTTATTACTTTGTTTTCAAACTTAAGTACTTCATGTCGTATTTACTCCGTGTAGTTTACCAATGGCTCATCTACAATGGCTAAAACCAAATGTTTATTGTAAGATGTCTATATATATATATACAGTGCTCGATTTGGCAAAATTAAAGGCTCTACTTACTTTAAAAAAATAACGACCCCAAAACTGGCTGAGCGTTATGATTATAGCGTAATAATAGTAGGGGGACGCTAAAATTTCTGAAAATTAATTGAGGTACTCCGCCCCCTGCATCACCCCTCAAGTCGAGCATTGTATATATATGTAAAATACATAGGTACTGATGAAAAAAATTATAGTACAATTTAAGTGCACTCTAAATAAGTAATACATTCTCGAAATGTCTTGATGATCATAAAATTCAATATCAGAATGATATCCTCAAAGAATTAATTTGTCTAACCGAAAGTAAAATATTATTAATCATTCATACATTTATAACATTTCAATGAACCTAAGTTTTATTTAAATATATAATATAGTATTATAATATAAACAGGAACATTAAATATTATACTATGAGTTTTGTTTTTAATTTACACTCTTTTTTTAAAAAGAAAAGAAGAAAAATTTCAATAGAGCTCTATTACACGTTTACATCGTATCCATACTGGTACATGTATATCACACGTACATTACAATATATTCAATTACTTTATCAATGGACAATGATCCCGGCTTACAAATAAGGTACCTAACTCATAATTTCTAGGGTTTTATAATGGTAAATCAAAATATTTTTCTGATAACCTTAATCACTAGAGAGGTTTTATGATTAATTGTTACAAAATATTATTGTTGTATATTATCGTTTTTAAACTATGTCAAAGGGCAAAATTAAAATATGTAGAATATAATAGCATGTAAGTATATATTATTACAAATATTAACTTGTTTGCATAGTATATTTAATCAATTACTGATAAAATACTCGGCTGTATGGTATTATCGGTTGAAACCTATGTCGTTGGGTATAAATATAAAAACAATAATCAAAAGTCATGGTCATCCAATACAGTGTGTCTTAAACTCTTTGAGATCACGGAACACCAAGCAGTAATATTTTTTTATGCAGAGAAAATTATCTTTAAAAAAGGAAGGTATACCAAAACATGGCGATGAACATTAACATTAAAAATACATTAAAAAACTAAATACAATAATATTAAATGAAATTATTTATTTAGGAAGTATCAAAGAATTTAAGAAATAACATTATATCTGATTTTAATAACAAAAAAAAAAAAAAAAAAAAATGATGGTAAAATTAATGCATGAATCTTCATATGCGATTGCTTTTATTAACAATATCTAGAGTACATTTTTCCAGTTTAAATTTGGTTTCAAATTCTTGTAATTTCAATGTTTAGTCTAGATTGCAGTGACTGTTAAGAATTCACAAAAGTACGTTGAAGGAAAAGGAAGTAGTATAAAATAATAATAATAATAAATAAAGTATATGTCAATTTTTCAGAAAAAAATAAAAATAATTTAGAGAATAATT